CCCCAAAACCCCAAAACCCCAAAACCCCAAAACCCCTTCAAGAGATACTTTTATTGAAATTACCTTTTAACTAGACTGAGCCTTCTTCTTCTTCAGGTCTATCAGACTTCTCTTAATAGCTTCATTGAGCTGCCGTTCCTCCCTGTTTAGCCTATGCTCAAGGTCCTTGTCCTGGGCTTCGTCATTTCGATCATTTTGAGGCACAAGTTGGGCAAGTCTTGATCTCATTGAATTGGTGCACTTAGGCCGATAATCCACAGCTGACTGGATTATTTTCTTTAGCGTTTGCTTAGGGTTATGCGGCCTGTTCATTTCCTCCTGCTCTCGCCTCTTAATCTCTTCATTATTTCTGCTGAATAAGCATCTTATGCTGCAGTTTCTCTTGGAGGTTGATCTTCCTCTGCATGGATTTCCTCCTGAAAGCTATCCTTGACAGCATCATTTCTTCAGTATCGAACTTTCCTTTGGAGATCAGCCTTAAGGAAGGCAGATAGTCTGACAGAGCCTGCAGGTTGGAATTTACCACCTCTGCGTGTTTCCAGTACTGAGAGGCTATCTTCTGTTGGCACTTATTTGTAGAGGCATCGCTCTATTCTGTCTGCAAACTGGTTTGGGTTAATGCCCTCTTCTTTCGTCACTAAGTACTTCTTAATGGTCTTCAGGAAGATGCCTTCAATTTTGAGTCTTTTTATATTGATTTTTTCTCAGGAGGTAAATTGATCTGTTCTGAGTTTTGATGGGTCGGAGCTTCATCAGTGATGTTTACAACAGCATTTTTGGCTGTTTCCATTACCTTCGAATCCTTTTTAGAGCTTTTAGGGAGTTCCTCAGCTGCAATGTTTAGAGGTGCATATAAGGTTTGGACAGATCCAGAGGATTTGTTGGTGTATTTCAAAACTTGAATCAAGAGCTTTTCGTCCTTAGTAAACTCTGTCTTCTTCTTGAAGCCTGCTGTCTTCTTTCTCTGTGAGTATTTGGTTTTCTGTTGCTTTTGGATTTTTGAGTTAGATTTGTTATTTGCTCTTTGGTTTTGAGAGGAATTTGATGAGCTTTTGTGGTGGATATCTTGATCTTCAAGGATTCTTTTCCTTATTTCTACAGCTCAAATTTTCTTTTTCTTATTAATAAGAGCTCGTCAAGAATTCTTGGCCATTAAAACAAAATATATCTTACCTTTAAACAAATAAAATATCATCTAGACATAACTCCGCACACATATATCTCAAATATCCAAAAATATCTATCCTTAAAAATTCAGCTCAAACATATCCCTCAAAAATCTAAAATACCTGCTTTTGTTCCAAATTCAAAAACAAACCCAAATACCACCTTCAAACCCTCCCAAACATACTTTAAACCTTATTTTAACTCAATTACTTTAATCTTTTTAAAGAATCAGCCAAACTAGACTTTATCTTACGTTTTAGGCCGTTATTCTGTACTCTTTTGAACTTTAAGGATTTTCCTAGTAAAGGCTTCACTGGTTTTTGACTTGATTTAGGAGTCAACTCGCCACTTGTGCTCTTAGTGTCTTCGTTGGATCCTGAGTCTTTGGCTTGTTTTGAGAATTTTAGCTCTGATCCAAAAGACTTAGAAAACGTTTTTGAAGCCTTTGAGAGCTGTTTTGGAGTATTTTTAGTGGGATTAACTGGTTTTAGGGTGCTTGCAGGTTTTTGTTGAGCTAGATTTGGAGAATTTTGAGTTGAATTTGTGCTGGTGGATGATGAAGAAGAGCTGCTTGATGATTCAGAAGAAGAGGATGAACTTGAGGAATCTCTTTTCCTTAGTTTATCATTTCTTCATAACTTTGGCATCATATCAGCTTTACTCTCCTTTGGCCCAAGCTTTTGTTTTAATCGCTCCATTGTGTTTTTTAAATTCTTTTTCGTTTCAACTTTCTTCTCTAGTTTCTGTTCTTCATCAGCTTGCTTGGCCCTTTCTTTCTGTTCTCTCTTCTTCCTCGGTTGCTTCGGACTCTGCTTAGGACGCTGCATTGGACTCTGCTTGGGACGCTGCTTAGCAACTTTCTTCTTCGGGCTTGGGTTACGTTCTCTTTTGGGCATCTTCTTTAAAGTCTTCTTCTTTGTGGCTACAGCTTCTTCAAAGTTGACAAAAGAGTGGAGCTGGAGGTCTTCAGCTAGGTTCTTCAGTGCCTCGTGGGTTTTTATGCAATCTATCTGAGCCAATACTTGCTTCACATATTCCTCGATCTCCTTGAGAGCTCAAGCAGGCTGTCTTGAGGCCGAGTCTGCTGAATGGCTCAGGAAGGCTTCAAGTCTTGGAAGAGGGACCTTTTTGCAAGCAGGCAGAAAGGGAGCTTTAGAGTCATTTTCTTCATTTTTAAAGCTGCTTATAGGCTTTCAGATGAGCTTGTTAAGGTCATCTTTTGGATCTTTATTGGGTTGGGGCTTTCAATAGGCTATTTGGTGATTTGAATAATTTTTGAAACATCCTACCACTCAATTCTGGAAGAGATTCCGAAGGTGACTTTTAAGAGCAGGATTTGTCTTGGAGTAATCAAAAGGGAGATGAGTCAACTTTGCCTCAAGTGCAACATACTGGTCATAATCCAGAGCTTTGTTTAGCTGGGAAAATGTCGTTACCTCATTGGAGACTTGTTGGTATTGTTGGTCTGATTGTTCAACCCAGTGTTTGAACTTGTCTCCTTCTTGGAATTTAACACCTAAATCGATGTATTCTTTGACTTCTTTGTTAGCCTTTTCAGATGTAATCCGCTTGGAAGTTTTGAGAGTCATTATTTTGAGCATCCTTTTCTTCATGCTTTTGCACATATTTAGCAGCTTTTTGAAATGTCTGATTTCCTGAGTGAAGCCAAATGAAGACTCAGAAAGCATGCAATGATCTTTTTGTAGGTCTTCGATTGAGATGTTTTCTTTGTATGAGTCTTGGAGCTTCTTCTTGATTTCGAGATATCTTTGGTAATTTGTCTTGAGAGATTCGACCTCGGTTTCGAAATTGATAGGTGATTGGGAAGCCTCTGAGAGCATTTTTGGGATAAAATAAGGATCTGGGTTGATCTTTTGAAAGAATTTGTTTAGCTTAGCTGCTGTTTTATAAATCTCCACAAAAATTTCATAAGTTTCCATCTCATCAGCTTCCTTCTCAAATTGCAATTTTCCATACAAAACCTTCCACTCCTCGAATCGCTTTTTGCCAACCATATACTGCTTTGCTTCTTGTATCGCATGCGCTGTGGCTACTCTCCTTAGCACCTCCAAATCCTCCGTTGTAGTTAAGGGAAGTCGCTCTAAGTCCAAGTACAGTGCCCTTATTTCCTTATAAAGGCCTTCAGTCTCCTTCTTGGTGGCTTGTTTGGCCCATTTCTTTGCTTTAACCACTAAATTTTTAACTTTTCTAATATCGTTCGTGACTTCCTTCACTTGATCTCTTAGCTCAATGGCTAAGCCATTGGCCTTGTTGAGTAAGTCAAGCTTCCGCTCGATAGTGTACGTGGTACTAGCAGGGTTCAAAATCTGAGCAATATTACATTTTTGTTCGGGAAATTTAGCTGTTAAGGCTGGAAAGAGAGAATCGTACTGGTCAAGTTGGGATTTTAGCTTGGAAAAATAAGGATTTTGGGAAGGAAGTCCTTGGTCTCTAGCTTGGGCGAGGAGGATTTTTGCTGAATGGGCTGAAGGGTTGGGATCTTTAGTGAAGGAATAAAGGGATTTTGAGATTTTAGCTAAAGGAAGGATTTGAGTGATTTTGGAGATTTTTGAAGGGGATTTTGTCTTGGAGAGTAGGGATTCTAGCTGGGAAGGGAGGTCAGGGCACTGGAGAAGGAGGAGAGAGTCTAGGATGTGAGGGTCGCAGCCGGTGCTGAATTTGTGGAGGATTTCGAGGTGCTGGTGGGATTCTTGAAGGTGATGGAATTCAGGAGAGGTGAGGTTGAGTGAAGTGCCGAGTTTTAGGAGTCTTTGGAGCGTTGTGTGAGGGACTTCAGTGAGGTCAGATTTGATAGATTTGTGGCATTCTCTGGTCCATTGCATTTTTGCCAAGGTTTTGTATAGTAAAGCTGGCTTGGGACCCATCACTTTGTTGACCTTTTCAGTGATCTTTCAATAGTCTTTAAGCTTTTTATTAGCAATAAAATCCAAGCAATCTGGGTTATCTAGAATATCCTTTGGAGCAGCCTTTTTGAAGTGAGTTTCATACATCTTTCTAATGTCTTCCGAGGTAGACTCGAGCCAGGACAGTGATAACACAGTATCGTTGAGGAGGTTATGGATAGGCTTGACATATACTCCTGATGCTTTTACAGCCTTCATCAGATCTTCAGCTGCCTCGGAAGTTTGTCATTGAGATTGCTTCTTCATCATCTGATTTGTGAATTCAATTTTTTCTCTTATTTCTAGGTCTACATCATCTTTGTGCTTTCCAGGGATTTTGAGTTTATTTTCTGAGAGGTCCTCCAATATGGCTTCGATTTCTGTAATTGTAGAATCTAGAGGATCAGAGGCAGGCTCTGGGTCCATTATCTGACAGAGGATCATCCTTTGGTATAACTTCTGAAGCCCAGGAAGGGTGACTCTAGTAGTTGAGTTAATTTCATCGATGAAAGCCTTAATCTCTGTAGGTTTAGAGCTTTTAAACAGCTTGATCTTCTGTTGTAATTGCTTACATTCGGTGTGAATTTTGTTGATCTTATCGAGCTGGGGTTCTAACAAGCAATGGTTGGTGTAGCAAGTTCTATCAATGTACTGGAGGATTTCGTGTAAATTCTTGCTATCTTGTTTATTCTGAGGAGTGGCATTACAAATATCTTCACAAATTATTGCAAAGGTTGCTAACTTCTTATACTTATTTATAGCTTTCATAAGCATTTTCTTTGGAGGGATAGCCATCCTGATCCCTTGGAGTATAATCTCCTCGCATTCTGTAATTGTTAACTTCTTGTTTACTCAAAGAATCGTCTGATTTAGCTTATCTTCGTACTGATTTCATAAGTTGTCAATACGAGTGAGCTCTGGAAGATATTTTGAGCAATCAATTTGAAGACAAGAGCTATTGTGGAGAACTTTATCAAACTTGCTTTTGTCAATTTTGGTGTTAACCGCTTGCTTCCAGTCCCGAACTTGTCAGTCGACACGTTCCTGCTGGGTAATGCCATTGTAAGAGGCGGCTGCTGAGGTATCTTTCTTAGCCTCTTCTCGAAGGATGTACTCGGCATCCTGTCAGAACTTGTTGTACTCAGCTATTTCCTGGTCCATGATTGTTAAGAGCTTACCCTTGTAAGGTGTTGCTTTGAGGGCTTCAAATAATTTTTCGTATCGTTCAAGGTCCTTTTGGCCTGAAAAGTTAGGGTCGTAGTACTCAGAGATGCCTTTCAAGACTTTTAAGCAGTCTATTGTCTTAGCCAAGAGTTTTAAGTCAGGTCATGCTGAAATTTGAGAGGGTTCAAGGTCCTTTCAGGCTTCTGAGAGTATGGTTAAATTAGTTTGATTTGTGTTAAGGTTGGTTGTATTTATCCTCCCATCTTCTGTGAGGATCTCAAGAGGTTTGTGCTTTTGGAGATCTTGAAAGTTTGGAAGAAATTTTTCTGCTGATATAATGGTTTTCTGTCACTTTTGGATTAAAGTTTGTACTCGAGATCCGCAGTTGATTGGAATTTTCTCAATAATTCTGAGATGTGCAGTGATTTCTGAGTTGTTTCTGGAGGAATTTTGCAAAACATCTGCCAATCTACTCCAAGCTTCGGCAATTATAATAAAATCAATAAGTCTGAAACCGAATGGTGCTTCGGGGATCAACATGCTTGAGCCTTTCTCGAATTTCTCAAGTAGCTCAATATCTGATGATTTAGAATGTGAAATCGAGTAGATAAAATTTTCTCGTTTCTCCTGCCACTTGGTACATCTTTCACAGAAATACTCTTTAATCTGGGTGCCTTGTTGGGAGGAAATGCCGACTCATTCTCCGTGATACCAATTCTCTATAGTATTAGGGTGAATATCTTACCTCATGATTCACATCAGATCATGAATCCCTCTTGGTCTTCATCTTCAGTGATGCCTCAAATACAGTATTCTTCAGGTTGTTTGTGGATATCACAGAAAATCGTAAGGAATCCACCTCTTTTCCAGATATTTTTGCGACATTCTTGGACTAAGTTGGAGCCTTGAAAGCCGATTATGCCAAGGGACTCTCTGGATGGGATTACCTTGCAATCCTCAGAGACATAGTCTCTGAGGAGGATCTGCCATGGGACAGCTGAGTCCGAGTTCTTTGTAATAGATGACCTCAGTTCTTCTCCCAAGCAGAAAGGATGCGCTTGGCGCTTACAGTTGCTTTGGTCTCATTTAAACATGAATCCTTTCCTTGATCGTCAGAAGCTGCATTTGAATTCATTTTCAAGTTTTAATTTTTCATTTTTGGCCAAGAAAAATGGGGTTTTGGGGTTTTGGGGTTTTGGGG